CGGCGGACGCGACGCGGGGTGCTGGGTGAGTGCGGCGGGCGACTCCTGGCGCCCCTGGGCTGCTGCTGGCGGGCTTTCGTGTTTGCTTTAGAAGTTGCACTTCTGTCTGTCCTCGAGGTCGCTAAGCCCACCTGGGGTCTGGAGACGCGCGGGGGCCGCGACACAGTCTTCTGCGGGTGGCCCCAAACCCCGGCGGGTGTACCCCGTCCTCCGGGTGTCCCCCAACCCAGGCGGGCGGTTCCCAGGACGGTGTCCCTCCACCCAGCCGGTGTCCACTCGTTCCCGGCGGTGTCCCGGTGTGCAGATGGGGCAATGCGCAGCACCCCCAACACCAGAGAGTGTCCGCAGTAAGGCCGGAGCCGGGGGCGGCCCGGCCCGCAGCCGCGTCCTGACGCCTGGGGACACTGCAGGGCCCAGGCCCCGGTGGGCGCGCTGAGCAGTGTCCAGGAGGCCGCAGCGAGGGCGGGGCTGGGGTCAGCGCGCCCGAAGCGGAGTTGTCGGGGAAGGTCAGCTCGGCGTTGTGCGGACGGCGGGCGGATGGAGATGACCGCTGTTCAGTACCCCGGCCTGGAGCCTCCCCTGCACCGCGCCGGCCCTTGCCCCGAGCTGGGCAGCGGTCTGAGTCCATCAGCAGGTCCCGCTGTGCGGGCAGGGGACCCTGGGTTTTGCTTGTACAGTCTGAGTTGGCCCGAGCAGGATGTGAGCTCCCAAGGGATGCGGTGTCCCCTCCCGATGCTTCCCTGGAGGTGGACTCTTGAGGAACTCAGAACGCAGCGGGCGTTGCTTGTGCGGCATCTGTGGTGTCTAGATTGGTGGGAGAGTTCCTGGTTTGCTCTGTAGCAGAGCCTCGCCCCAACGACATTTTCACCGCTGGCTTATCTTGGGGGTGGGCGGATGCTGGGGATTGAACGCGGAGCCTTCACCTTGAGCTGCAGCTCCAGCCCTTTTGAACGTTTTTGAGAAAGGGTGTCTGTAAGTTAACTTGACCATGCTCAAATTCAGGACCCTCTTGCCTCAGCTTCCCTGAGTGCTGGAGTTAGGCACTCAGCTCCTGCTCGCTTATTGTTTGAAGTCCGCCTTGAACCCCTGTTTTATAGAGCATGGCTGTTATTAGGAAGCTGGGCTAGCTTCAGTGCCAGTGTGGACGTTACACTGGGCGGTCACTTCGGGTCAAAGAGTCGTTTGTATCAGTGCTATTCCTAGTTGAGCAGTCCCCGTACAGAGCGGTTATTGTCAGAGCAGCCCTGGACAATGAGCAAGAGGTAAAATTCAAAGTTATACAAACTAGCGTTCTCTCTCAGTGCTGAGGAGGAGCCTGGGACCTCACACGTGGGGGAAATGCTGTTGCTGAGCTGCATCCCCAGCCCACACAGCCGTGTATCCTGTGGAAGCTGGCGCTCGCTTTCTAGATCTGCCACATTTACGGCCTTCTTCAGCCTGCTGGCGTTTCTGGGCAGTTCTTTGCGGGGGGCCGGGCGCAGTGTCCAGCCCAGGGGACTGGCATGGGGTCTGCCCAGCGGGGGCTGTGACGGTCCTCGCCCAGGACACAGCTGCAGGAGCACCGTGAGTGCTTCTTGGACCAAGTGTCAGGTGCACACAGAGGGAGACAAAGTGGCTGTGGCTGTGTGGTCCCAGAGTGACAGTCTGGGAACATCCAGTGCGGGGCTGGGGTCCCCAGGTGAGTGGTACATCCTGCCGTGGCACATCCTGGGCAGGAGGCCAGGCAGGACTCATCTGCAGGGGCCCGGAACAGACTGTGCTCATGCCTGCCCGATTCACAGGGTAGCGCGGAGGCAGACAGTGGAGGAAGGCAGAATTACAGCTCTCTGCCGAGCCTTCTGGGGGTGGCGGGAGCTCTGTAGTGGGAAGGCGTGGCCAGGGTCCAATGGGGGGCATGGGCAGAGGGTAGTGTGACTCGCCTGACCCAGTGGTGTTGGTTCAGCCAGGGAAACTGTCCATGAGAGCTGCAGGGTCTGAGAGGGCTTGGGCTGTGCCTTGGTTGCACCTCTTGGTGTTGGAACTCGGCCCTCATTCTTGGAGAACTGTGTGGACGTTCAGGGAGAGATGTGGGGAGCTCTGGGGTCCCGGTGTCGCCGTGAGACTGCGTGGTCTCCCACTGTGTGGGTGATTGAGAGCTGGCCAGGGCATTTTAGATGCGTGCATCTTATATCTACATATATGTGTGTTTTATATGTTGATGTGTAAGTTGTATATTTTATGCTGTATGTCAGTTATATGTTTTACTGCTTATGTAAGTAAAATCATTCGCGCATGCACTTGTGTACCGAACTGCTTGCATGTATTTTGGTGCAGACTAGACAAGTGCTCTACCACTGATTGGCGCCTCTAGTCCAGGACTTGCGCTGTGATAAACATGTGCTATAAGCCCTAAATGTTTTCGTTTTTATTTTTTTTTCTCCTTAAAAGAAAAACAGGGTAGTGACTTCAGGTTGGCTTCTGATTTTAAGGAACACGAGGAAGTGGATTTAAAGAGCTTGAGGTTGCTGAGGCCTTGTCCAGTGCCCCTCTGGGGCGGCAGAGCAGAGCTGAGGTGAAGACCTGGTTTTGGAGAGGCTGTGCATTTGGGTTCCAGCGTGTCCAGGGGCTAGGCTGGTCCCCTGCTCAGACTGGGGTCGGCCTGCAAAGGTGGCCGCAAACTAGCTTGAAATTGAGCAGTCCGGATGCAGCCAGGGGCCTGATGGGTCCAGGGCTCTGGAGCTGATGGCGCTGGCACCTCGGAGGCACAGGGCCCCTGTGGGCCGCTTTGGCTGTTTTTCCCTGTGTGTGCAGAGGGTCCCTGCAGGCTGGGCCGGCCTGCTTTCTCCCACTGAGGGCTCAGCGGTGGCCTGGCCCTTCCTCTCGCTGCAGAAGTTGTAAGGAAGTTGGTTCAGCCTTTGCTCTCCAGCTCCGGACTCAGCAGGTCCATGGGGATGGTGGGTGGTTCACACAGGCCTGAGTCCAGCTGCAGAAGCACTGCTGTGGGGTGAGGCGGAGTTGTTGGGCTCTGGGTGTTCTCAGTCCACGGGGTGCACAGTGGGCAGCTCTGCAGTGGGGCTGAGGTCTGAACTCACGCTCTGCACGGTGGCCGGGCCCAGCTGGGAGGTGGGGAGCGTGGAGGGCAGGCCTCTGTCCCGTGGCAGCGTTGAGACTTGCAGGGCTCTGGTGACTTCATAGGAAAGAATGAAAGGTGCAGCACTCTGCCAGAGACCAGGAGCGAACCACAGGTGACGTTGGAAGGAGGAGAGATTGATGGTTTCGACAATGCACCGCCTTCCCTGTAACCCTGGCCATGAGAGGAGGTGCCCTGGCAGGCAGCAGTGCCGGACAGCTGAGTGCTTCCGGTAGTGTGGGCCAGGGAGGGGACTCAGGACCTTTAGATGAGAAGGAAGGAAGGGAGGGGGTGGGGGGGGGAGGGAAGAAGGAAGGGAAGATGGGAAGGAAGGGAGGGAGGAAGGAAAGAACGGGGGAGGAAGGGCGGCTCTCCCCTCTGATAGTTGCCCCTCACCCAGCTCCCACTGTCCGGCTCCTGCCTGCAGTTCTTGGTGCAGAGAACTTGCCGCTGAGCCTCAGGGATCCAGTGGCATTTTAGCCACGCCCTGTCCTGGAGGACTGGGTGCTGATTGCTGCCGCCGCCTGCCCTTGCTGGCATGACTTTGTGCGTGGAGGCAGGAGGGTGGGCGTCAGGAAACCCACCGCCAGCCACGTGGTGTGCCTGACTAGCATTAAGAAACAGGACTACAGCCTTGCATGGGCTTCCTGTTGGGCCTGGTCCTCATCATCACCACAGTCCCTGCTCAGCATGTGGGGCTGAGATAGGCCGGACCCATCCGGCAGCCAGCTGTGGCCCCAGCTCACCCCCAGTGTTCCTGGCTCCTCTGTCCAGCGTGAAGGGCCTGGCCAGGGCACCCTGTCTTCCCTCCCGCCATGTGGTCTTGCAGGACCTGCCCTGCTAAGTCCCTCTCCAGAGGCCTTCCCTGGTGTCCACCCATGCTCCCCTTGCAGGTCCAGCCACGGGGTGAGAGAGGCCACACGTGTCCCTGGAGTGTGTCCTTAGCTCTCGCTGCAGTGGGCAGGCTCTGAGGAAGGAGGAGTGGTTCCTCGGGCTCGGTCCGTGGCCAGCATCTCTACTGCCCTCAGCCCTGAGTGAGGCAGAGGTGGAAAGTGCTCACCTCATGGCAGCCAGGAAGCAGAGAGCAAGGGAGAGGCAGAGAGGCAGGGCCGGGCCCAGGGAGACCGCAGGTCATGCCTGTGACCGCCCTGCCCCTCCGCCCCACCACCTCCCGGGAGTGCCACCCGGCACCCTCTCACCCCTGGGCAGATCCCCCCACCCATGGCATTCCAGCCTTCTCGGACTTACCGCCTCCTGAAGGTCCCTGGACATCATGCCCTGGGGGCTGTGGTGGACCTGCTCCACACCTGGAGGACCACCGTGTGCAGGACGCACAGAGGGCAGTGTGGGGCGAGCGCAGGCCCTGCCCTGGAGTGGTCCTGCGGAGCCCTGGCTCTGGGCCCCTCTGCCGTCGCGTCAGCTTCTGTTAATGGCCCAGAGCACGCAGCTCGATCTCTCCGACGCTTACATTGAAAGGCGACAGTAGTCAGGGCAGGGCAGTGGCACTGTGAGATGGGCTGCCTGCCCCAGGGTCCCACACTGCCCCGTAGCTGAAGACAGCTGGATGAGCACAGCCCTTTGCAGCTGCCGGGGCTCCAGCGGGGAGAGCAGGAGAGCTTGAGCCCTGCCTGGGTCAGGGTCAGACTGGGGACAGGCAGGTGATGTGAAGTACAGCCTGCCGGGGTGCGGTGGTCCAGGGACGAGGTGCCTGTGTCAGCCTCCTGCTTGGCTGTGTGGCTTCCCAGGGCCACTGACCTTGGAAGGACAGCCGTGCAGCACGATGCCGTCCGCAGCAGGACCCTTGGGCTGCAGCCAGCCTGGACCTGTGCTCACAGCTGTGGAGCCTCCCTGGGGCTCAGCACTCTGGTCCTGGGGGGCTGGCTGGTGGGTCAGGGCCCGCTGGGGGAATCCTGAGGACACAGGTCTGTGAGCGAGCCCTGCAGGCAGGCACATCCTTCCTTGTCACACCTCACCTGCGGGAAGGTGAGGAGTGAGCAGGACTCTTCCCAGGCCAGGCAGCATGGTGTAGAAAATGGTGAGCCCCCCATGAGACCCAGAGCCGCGTGCCTGTCAGACACATGTCCAGGCAGCAGAGTGACCACTCGCCTGGCAGGGGGGCAGAGGTCTGGCCCTGGCGTCCGCATGTCCAGCAGGGAGCTTCACACTTGCCCATGGAGCGCAGGGACCTTTGCACTTCTCTGAAGTCCCCGGCTGCTGCTGGGCACGGCAAATCTCTGTTCTTCCGCTGGTACTGCTCAGCCTCGGTTTCCAGGCCCTGTTGCCGGCCAGTGGAAGGGGCAGGTGCCCCCGTGTGCTGGGCGTTCCTGTCCAGGCTCTCTCCTGCGGCATTGCTTGGGACCACGATGCTGGAGTGATTATTCATCACTCTTGGCTGGCCTGCTGCCTGTGGTTTGGTGCTCTGAGGACGGACACAGGGCCCCACTACGTTTGCTGCTGTGCTGGTCACAGAGAGCTGCCTGGCGGTAGCATTCCCAAGGAAAACAAAGTGCACCCTGTGCCTTTGTTGTCCTCTACGGGGATGGCAGGGAAGGAGATGGCGCGCCCCACCCGTGAGCGCAGATGGGAGTGGCCCTGAGCTTCCTCGCATGGCTTGTCCTGCCGTCTTTGCTGTGGCTTACCCCCGCCTGCCAGGGGACACTGTCCCTGATGTCCACAGCCTCCTGAACCTGCCCCTTTGCAGCTCTGTAGGAGTCCCTGTCACTGTCCTTGCTCCCCGAATCAGTCCCTGCCTGACTGCTGCAGTCCTGGCTTGCACGGGACACAGAGCCAAGCACACTGGGGTTGGCGGGGCGTGGGAGGACAAGCTCCTCGCTCATCCCGAAGTGTCCAGTCCCTCTAACTCCAGGTGGGGCGGGGTGTGGTGCAGCAGCACCAGAGCCATGCAGGTAACAGCTGGCATTGCCCATGCCACCAATGATAGCTGGACATGCCACGCATCACACCCTGTGCAATTCGACCCCCAGACCACCTGCGCAGATGCCTCTCCCCCAGCATGCACAGGGGGACACGCAGCCACTGCCCCTGCTCTGTCTGTAGACCCTCCACCTTGTCAGACCCTGCCTTGGGGCCCTGGGTCTCGGGGGCCTCTGGGCCAGGGCTCTCCATTCGAAAGGGTGACAAGACACACTTCTCAGAACCATGGTGGTAGGCAGCTAGAGTAGACAGAAATTAGTACACAGCCAGAGGAGGGTGGGGTGTCAAGGAAGCCAGCAGAAAAAGTAAGACCTCAGAATTGTGGTTGGAGGTGCACCTGGAGGAGGCCAGGCCTCAAGATAAAAATGCAGAGGCCAGGCCTGCACGACTCCATAGGGGTGAGCAGAAACTTAGAATTGTACTATAATTGATGTCACCTGGTCCAGTAAAGTCCAGCCAGACATCAGCCACCCAGGTGGCTGACCAGAGCACCCAGACCCACCCCTTCTCCAGAATGCCTTTGCTCCTGCTAGGCACCCTTGCCATTTGACCTGCTTCCCTACCGGGTCAGAGTTAGCGAAGCGGCTGTTCTTGTAACCTTGTAGGTTGATTGTAGTTTGACCCACATTGTACTCACTTCTTGATTTTGTATCCATCGCATGATTTTGCTCTAAAAAGCATTCTTAGAGAAGTGACCTCGATAGCATCCCGCTTGTGGGTCCCCTCCTGTCTCAGGAGCTCTCTCTCAATAAATCTTTCCTACTCTTAACTTCCGTTGTTCCTTAGGATTCATTCTTTGATTTTGGGGGACACGATCTAGCAACATGTGAGGTCTAGCAGGTTGGGAGTTATATTTTCCTTTTTCAGGAGATCATGCTGTGAACTACAAGAGATAGTCCCTGCGTGCTGTGGTCCACACTGCTCAGGCAGATCCCGTGTGTGTGTGTGGGTGTTGGTGAAATGGCGTGAACCCAGGGATCGGGCACACGGTGCCCATGAGGCTGGCTGGTGCTCTGGGAGGGTGTGCCACTCTGGGTGTGCTATCTGAGTGGCTTCTTCATGCCCCGAGGATGTGACGGGGATGTAGAGGCCCAGACAGCACCAGAGGAGCTACGAGGGGTGCCCAGGGGCAAGCTGGCCTGTGTGATGGGCAGGAGGTGGGCAGGGGGAACCTTGTCTCCCGTGAGCACTGCTCAGCAGGCAGTGCCAGCTCACCTAAATTTGCAGAACTCACAGGCTGCCGTGTCCATGTGCACCTGATGTTGGAGCAGACGCAGCTGAGAAAATTGGAAGATTCCCCCGGCTACTCCAGTGGCAGCTGGGCTGGTGTTGGGTGTGGTGTTGGAGGCCCAGGGTAGAAGCCAGGGCAGGTGTTGGGTGCCCCCTGCAGGGCCTGGCAGTCATGGGTATCTAAGCAGGGGTCAGCCCCAGCTGTAAGCTAGCAGGATGGTGTCCATGGAGCTGGGAAGTGGCCTTGTCGTGAGCAGCTGGTGTCTCGCTTTTTCTCAGCGTGGTTCTTGGGGCGCTCCCAGGGGAGGGAGGGTATAGAAGAAAGCACCTGTGTGTGGAGATGGCCTGGCCGGGAGAGTAGTTGCTGTTTACTCGAAGGCAGCTAAGAGAGCGGTCAGCACTGCTCTCCCTCCCGCGAGCGTCCTTCACAGCCGTGCCCGCTCCGGCTAAGAGCGCCTGAGCGTCGTCTCGAGGGAGGTGTGCAGGACTGCAGAGCCAAGTGCCAGTCACGCCTCCCTTCCTTCAGGGTGCCGCACGGTGAGTGACGAGTGCCGCGAGCCCACCAGGACGTGACAGGTGGCAGCGCCTGACCCAGCATCCTGGAGAGGCTGCGGGCCTGAGCATGGACCCTGGCGAGGCTCCCCTGCACCCCGCTCCTGCAGGTAGGGTGGGGCCCGGCAGGGTGTGGGCAGCTCCCCAGGCCTCAGACGTCCCCTTCGCACCCCGGAGCAGCAGCTCCGTGTGTGGGCGTGTGTGGACTCGTGAGTGCCCACTGGCGCTCCCTGCCCAGGCTGCAAGCGCTGATCTGTCCGCTGCCCCGGAGCATTTCGGGAAGCAAAGCACGACAGTTTATATTCCAGAGCCTGCTCTAACAGCAAAGCCCTTCCAAATTGTGTTTAGGGAGAGGAAGTTGCTCTGTTGCCTCACAAACGTGATTTACGGAGGTGAGTGACCGAGTGAGTCCCAAGTGCCTGCGCTCAGAGGGGACCACTCCGTGCTGTCCTCACTGGAGGACAGCGGGATGACAGCCCAGGGGGTGAAGCCATTTGTGGCACGGTGCTTTTAACCCTATCTTGTTTTAAATGATACAGACAGGGTCTTTTGGCTTGAATTACAGTTGCATCTTACAGTCAGACACGTCTGAAAGCCCAGGGGAAGTGCTTGGCTTTGTCTGTGCTCCACCGATGTTGTTCCTGGCATTTCCAGAAGCGCTTGTGGCCTGGGGCCTCCTGGGGAGAAAGGGTCACCCAAGGGCTGGCCCTGCACTGGCCCCGAGGGCACTGGAGGTGGGAGGCCTCCCCGGCGCGGCTTGTGCTTTCCGTGGCCGCCCCACCCTGCACACCCCTGTGGCCCTGCTGCTGCTGCTGGGTGGTGACTGCGGAGCAGGTGTGCTCCGTGCCGCGGTGCACCGCTCCCCGAGATGAGCCAGTCCGCCCTGGGCAGGCTGCAGAGCGTGCAGCGGAGGTGGAGAGGGCTGGAGCGTGTGCACAGGGTGGGGCTCACGGGGCTGAGAGGCCTGGCACCTGTGCCCAGGGGCCCTTGGGGACCAGCAGGAGGGTGGTGTGACGGAATGCAGAGCCCAGGACGGGCCTGGGTGACGCTGAGCAGAGCCCGTGGCAGAGGGGGGATGTGGGAGGGCTGCCCCCATCGTGGCACCACGGTCATGACTTCTCCTTGCCCTTCCCGCTCTCTTGCCCCTTTTCCCTCTGCTTTTCCCTCTTACCTTCAGCCTCTACACATACTGGGAACAAATAGAATTCTGTTGCTTGTTTACTTAGTCACAGCTGTGGGGCGGTGCCATCCTTGCCTGGACCCACCGAGAGGGGCCTGGTACAAAAATACCCCTCAGCAGCCAGTGCTCCTGTGCAGCCTGCGGGCTTGGACTCAGGGCAGCACGGCGGCAGAAGCAGAGGAGAGGAGCCGGGGACGAGAACCTGCCCTCCCAGCCCGCACTGTCTTCTGTCCACGCAGAGTCACCATGAGGAAAATGGGGTGGGAACTGGAATTTTTAAAAAACAAACACTTGCGAATGTAGTCTGCTTAGTATTTTTATGTATGACATACTGGACTTGAAACTAACATAGTGGATTTTAACGCTGTTGGGCATTCTAATGGGACATGCACTATTATTTTATTTTTATTTTTCTCTGCAAAGGTTTGTTCCACACACTGGGGCTAAGTCCTTCTTGGCAGCCGCGTTCCTCATGGCGGCCAGCACGTTGTTCAGCTCCTCGCGCTTCCTCTTGGCGCGGATGTATGTCCCCACCTGCTTCTTGATGAACTTGAGGGCCCGTTTGTCCTTAGAGACCTTGAGCAGCTCCATGGCATGCTGCCTGTAGTGGGCAAAGCCGCACACCTCCCGGATCGTGTCCCGCACGAACTTGGTGTGCTTGGCGAGGCGTCGGCGGTGGCGGCTGTGCCTTGCTTTGCTCACGTTAGTCGTCACCTTGTGGCCCTTGTTGAGGCCCACGGCCACGGGGTAGCGCAGAGCCATGGCTGCTGCCCTTCAATGGTTGCTGCAGCGGAAGACTGTTATTTTTCTTAAAAAAAAAAAAAAACCAACTAGAAATGGCTAATGATTTGAGATTATAGCAAAAACAGTGCTGGTTCTTAGAACATACATTCCGCTGATTTTTCTTTAAAAATTCTCCGTTAAAACAGACCTTTGAAGTCTTTCTTCTCGAGGGTCTGCTGGGAGCCTGCTAGGCCTTGGACGGGATGGGCGTAGGCTCTTGGAGTAGCGCTCTGAGTCTCGCGTCTGCCATGTGTGAGGTGAGATGTGCTCATCAGCAGCCTCATCCGCCTGGCCCACGAGCATGCTGGGGAAGAACTCGCCGACCTTGGCGAAGGTCACGCCCAGCGGAGGGCTCAGCCTGCATGCGGCGTGGGACAGGCAGACCCACTGCATAGAGCGTGGGGGCCACGGGCTGTACGCCTCTCCTCTGGCATGGTTTAGATCCTTACTGGGGGTTGATTTTTTCCTAATTGATTTCTGAGTCCCAGGTAAACCTGTTTGAAATGTGAGAAATGCCTGTTCTCTTTCCTCCTTTTCTATCTTCTGCTTTCCTCTCCACCTTCGCAGGTGCAGCCGCCCTTCCCAGCCCTCGGCCTGGGCTGAAGGTGCAGGCCTGGTGCGGGGAACAAATGCGATATTGTAATGATGTTATTTTAAACTTTAGAAAATGACGTGAAATTCGATACTAATCACAACGAAGAGGAAGAGGGAGAACAATTCGACTTTGAGAGTGGAGATGAAGCCCCAGAAGCAGATCGCCAAGCCCCGTCCTGCGAAGGAGTGGCTGAAGCCTCTGGCCCTGCCGGTGCGTCTCCTGAGGGTGAGTTCCCGTGTGTGTCCTCTGGCCCTGGGGCCTCCGGCGAGGCTCACGGCTTCTCTGTGTGGCTGCCACAGCCTGGTTCGGTGTTAGCAGAGTCTGTCTCCTGCTTCCCAGTCTCGGTGTGTGTCTGTTTCTGCGTTGGAGTGGTGGTGCTGAGATGTTCTGATGGGCATTCCCTCTTCTCTGCATCGCTGTACTGCGCAGGACAGGGTGCTGGGGCCAGGCCAGTGGGGAAGGCTCCTGTCTTCACATCCGGGGACCTGGGCTTTGACTCAGGGGCCAGGTGGCTGCAGGGCCAGCCCAAGCACCTGTGTCTCAGGTTTCCCAGCTCCAGTCGCAGCGCCTCGGGACAGCTTCTGTCCACCCATGCCCACCAAGTGCCACCAGCCCACCTGCGGCAATCCGGGAAGGCTGTGTCCTCGCCGTAGATGGAGGGCAAGGGCTGCCCTGTCCGTGGCTCTCCCGGGAGGGAGCCCTGTGCCCTCGCTGCCGTGTGGCTGACTGCTCTGTCCTCCAGGAGGTGACAAGGGACCTGGAGCAGAAGCCTTGGCAGGGGCAGAACCCGCCACGCTCAAGGTCCCAGCGAAGGTGAACCCGTACTCCGTCATCGACATCACGCCGTTGCAGGAGGATGGGCTGCCGCCCCCAGACGCGCCCGCCGAGGAAGACAGTGTGGGTCTGCACGTGCCGAGTGGGTACTTGGTGCCCGTTCCCTGTGGCTACGCTGTCCCCTCCAGCCTGCCCGTGCTGCTGCCCGCCTACTCCAGCCCCGTCGTCATCCGCACCGAGTCTGTGGACGAGGAAGGTACATGCCCGTCCCCCTGGCTCACCCCTGCTCCCTCTGGGGCGCGAGCCCACGCTGCGCTCTCCCTCGATGGGGCTCAGCTGGGGAGAAGCTTGGAATCACATCTGCCCCGCATGTCAGGCCCTGCCCACAGGGGGGACACAGCTGCCCTTTGCCCACGAAGCCCCAGGAGCTCAGCAAACCCACCTTGTTCCTGGCATTTGCCACCGTTGTGCCGTGATGCACAAACCAGGCTCTTGCAGTGAGTCAGAGCTGGCCAGTGTCTCTCCTGCCCCGGACAGAGGGGCCCACGGGGAGGAACAGCAGGCCTCGAGGAGCTCGCCCAGCTTCTGCTGCCTTTCCTCTGTCCAGAAAGGGGTCTGGAGACGTCTGCGCACCAAGCGGGTGGGTGATGGGGCTGCTGTGGGCACCCAGTCAGGCCCCAGGGCGAGGGGGCACCGGCCACAGCTCTGCCAGTCCTTGGCTCGGGTGGGGTGGGGTGGGGCAGGTTCCTCTTTGTCCTCCCCTCCAAGACTTCGGTGTGGCGGGGTACTGGAGCCACAGAGTGCCGTGCAGGTCACGGGCTCAGCGGGCGCATACAGTGGCCTTGCCTTTGGGTGGGGAGTGTGCAGCTCTGACGTCCAGGCTGGGGCCCAGGCACGGGTCTGCTGGGCTGTGTGCAGCGGGAGGCCGGCCTCCCCCGCCCTCTGTGTCACCCTTTCCCGGGGCGCTGGGGAATTCTTCCTCCTGTGAGTGAGCCTTTGACCCAGAGGAGCCGGTCAGGAAAGGCTCAGGTGTACGTGCAGTTTGTGTTTGTATGGAAATTTCAGTAAATGTTTTTTCCTTCTAGTTAATGATAGAGAAAAAAGTCCATCTTTGAAGAAAACACTGCGTCTGAACACGAAAGTGTAGGTTTTTGGGGGTTATTTCCCGCTGAGTTTGAGGACGACCTTCTGGTCTCGCCGTGGTCCCCAGTGCTGTCCCGTGCTGCAGCCACGATGTGGGGCGGCCTGGTGCAGGGCTCTGCTCCAGGGAGGAATGTTCATTTGAAGCTGTTTGCGTAGCTCAGAACTATCTGGTTACTTTAAATAATTGACTGTCTTTTAAATTAGCATGTTTTAAAAATAATTCAGCGTGGTTTTAAAGAATGTGTGTTTTGTTTTGTTTTGTTTTGTTTTGTTGTCAGCCAAGAACCAGGAAGGAACCTGGCAGTCACCGCTCTGCTGGGGACGGGAACAGCCTGAGAGGCTCTGACCCCGAGCGGGGGGAGGAGGGCACCGAGCTCCTTCTCAGGCTGGGACAGCGAGGGCTTTGTGCTGGGCTCCCACGTCCAGTGCCCGTTCCCTGGGGGAGCAGCCCCATGGCGGGCACAGGGCACAGGGGTCCGTCCTCCTGGACGTGCTTGCTGCTTACCCGCTTCCCGGGCAGCTTGCTGGATGTGCTCGCCCTGTGTCTCCTTCCTGAGTGTGTGGAGGAGCCAAGGCCCGGCCCTTACCCGCCCAGAAAGGCCAGTGCCATTCCTGGGCCCTGGGGCACTGAGGCAGGGCCTGGGCCCACTTCCACGTGTCTGATGGAACCAGCTGTGTGGATGCCCCAGGGCGAGGTTTGCAAGTGGCACCCCAGGTCTACCCTGCCTCGCTGGACAGGCGGTACTATTGCACCCTCAGAATGCAAGTCCCCGCGTGAGGGCTGGGCAGGGTGTCCAAGTGTCCAGCCCTTGGCTAAGCAGCATCAGCTACATCCCGAGGGGTTCCTGACCCTGAGCCAGCGGGCAGGTCACTGCCATGTGTGATAGCTGTGCAGCACCCTTCTGAGCCCACTCCTGCTCGGGGACTGAGTCCACAGCTGTTCCCGTGGGGTCTGTGTGGAGCCTGTGAGGCAGCTCTTGTCACCAGCAGCTGGAGGATGTGTCAGCCAGTCGCCAGGACACTAAAATGGAGCCAGTGTGTGTGAGAGCTTGAGCATGTATGCGTATATGAACATGTGTGAGTGTGAGAATGTGTGCATGTGGGAGTGTGTGTGTGAACATGCTTGTGCACGTGCATGACGTTGCATATGAGACTGAATGAGGGTGTGGGTATGAGTGTGTGTGTATGTGAGTGTGAGAATGTGGCGGGCCTGTGTATGCGTGTCAGACTGCAGTGTGAGGGCATCTGTGAGAATGTGTGAGGGCAGAGTGTGTGCGAACACGAGCGTCAGGAGCATGGGCCGGTGTGAGGGTGTGTGTGTCTAAGGTGTTGTCATGGCTGCTCTTTCTCGGGTAACAGGTGGCCACGTGCAGTGGATCTGGTGTGGGAGGCTCCCCAGAAAGGGATTGTATGAGGCTTCCTTTCAGCCCTGGCCTCAGCTAGCTATGTGTCTGTGCGTTTTATTTCTGTTTTATAAGACGTCAGAATCTCACATTTCGTTATAGTCCTACATCAAAGTAATTGTGTCTGAAAACTGAGGAGTTTAAAACGTGTCTGTAAATCATCTTTACATTAACAGAAGCCCATTACTGATGAGAAAGGGAAATGGGAAAGCATTTTAAGGATAAAAATAAACTGCAGAAACGTCTCCGTCAGGTGTAAAGCAATGTGGTTCTTGTCTTTCCTAGCAGAAGCACCGGAAGCTGTGGATGACCAGCAGCTCAACTCCCCGAGTTCCGAGGACCCTCTGCACAGGTGTTTCTTCGTTTTCTGTGTGTGCGCGAGCCGGTGCTTTTGCCATGTCTGACGCGCAGGCTGGCCTGGCGTGCTGCTGCCTGGCTCAGTCCTCTGCGCTGGTCCCAGCTCTGTGCTGCCACTCCACAGCTGTCCACTCTTCCTGTCACTGAGCAGCACACGGTCCCCAGGTGCTCAGCGCGTGCAGTGCGGAGGTGCCAGGAAGCGAGTGGCGGGCGGGCTGTGTGCCGCCTGGGCGGCCCTCTGTTGGCCTGGTCTTCACACCTGCTCGTGTCTTCCCATTAGCCAGTAGGCATCAGTGTGCCCCCCACGCAAGACCCTCCAGAGACGAAGGTTCTGAGGAGCAGTTCCCACTGACGACACTCCCCATGCGTTTATAGGAATAGGTCCCATGGCAGAGGCAGAGCCACCGAGGCCCTTTGTAAAAAGCTGCAGCTCCGCATGGCAGAAGTCAGTGGCTGTTGTTCTCGGCAGTGGGAAGCTCTGTGGGAAATGTGCCTGTGGAACAGTGAGGTCCTTTGAAGAGAGGTTATAAAACGTAGTGAGCTCAGTCAAGCTCGGGAATGTGTGAAAGTACGACATTTTTAACGTATGGAAGCTTTGGGGAATACTTTTAAATGCCATTTATATTTCCTGCAGTTCTTTTTAAAGGAGCTTTTTGCTCAGATATAATTTCAGGCTCATACACCGCAAGAATCCTCCTTCCTGTGCCCTGTCCTCAGCTGGCTGTTTCCCAACTGTCCACTGTTTGGACTATGGGTGCTTCCCTGGGAAATGCCACAGCTCTGTCATAATGTAAAATCCCAGAAACAAAGTTTATGAGTTAAATTCACACAGATTGCGCTGAACTCGCGGCCAGCCCTTGGGACACGAATTGTCCCTTTGTCCAGCAGAGCCATTTTCTCCCTTGGGCCTGAGGAGGCTGTCTCTGCAGTCAGGCATGTGCTGGGGTCTTGGCGCGTGTCCCCGTACGGTGCTGAAGGCCGAGAAGGGATAGTGAGTGAGGGTGCCCTGAGGGGCCTCTGCCCTCTCTCTGCACTCGGGGCTGTGAGCTGGGGCCGAGTGCTGGGTGTGAACTCTGTGCTTCCAGGGTGACTGTCTCAGAGCGCTCTCCAGGGGTTCGTAGACACTCACTGTTGCTAGTCTCCTTTCCATGAAGCCGTGTCGTCCTCCACATGCTTCTCTCCCATGAAACATGCCCCACAGGACACAGGACCCCCAGAGTGCTGCGTCCCCGTGTTAGCCCCACTCCCTCACAGGCGACCTTGGGTTTTCCAGTGAATCTGGTCTGGTCTTCCTTTTGCATAAGATACTGGTCAGAATCCAGGTCCCCTCGTGTACATGGGTGGCCTTGTGCTCTCTCCCACCAGCCGGTGCCGGAGGTGGCCCAGCCCTGGGCCCTGCACGACCCAGCCTTGTGCAGGCGTGAGAGGCAGACCCTTTCTGGGCAGGGATGGCGTTTGTGCTGGGCTCCTGTGGCTTGCTTACTGAGAAGGTTGTGAGTGATCGTTGGGACTTGGGATTGCCAAGTCCTGTCTGGGAGACAGAGTCAGCAGGTGCCGTAGCACACGCGCATGTGTGTATCACCCTGCTGGCACTGAGCTCCCAGCCCGGGCTGCTTCCTCATACCCGTTTCGTGTTTCCTCCCTGCTGTGTTTCCTTGCAGTGGTGATCAAAGCATCAGGGAAGGCAACGCCCTGGCCCAGTGGGCAGCGGACCCGGCCAACACAGCATGGATGGAAAGTGAGTGGCACTGCCCCGTCTGGGTCCTCCCACCCCTGCAGGTGTTGTCAGCTGATGGCAGAGTGCCGCCTCCTGTCCTAGGCCAGATCAGAAGCTTGCGTAGACGTTCGTCTGCTTACAACTACTGAGGATCGAACCTGTGGCTTTTGTGCTGAGCTACATCCTCAGCTCTTCAGTTTTTAATTTGAGACGGTGTCTCAGTACATTGTTATATTTCCCAGGCTGGGCTCAAACTTGTGCTGCGCTTGCCTCAGCCTCCAGAGGCCTGGGATTTAGGTGTGCTCCAATGCACCCAGCTTCGTTTACTTAAAATATTGAAGAACCACCCATGCCTGTGAGGGGATTAGCAGAAGCTGCCTGCCAGGAGGCCTCCCTGGGCTCTCAGGAACCGGCCTCCGCTATCCACCTGCCTGCATCCTGCCCCTTTCTGACTGCTGCTTCCAGGTGCAGATTTGGTTCTTCATCGCATGGGGAGCTGAGGCTCTGACCTGCAGCCCGAGGCCCGCCAGCCCTGCAGGGCCCGCCAGCCTCGGATCTGCTGTCGTGTAAGAGGCTAGGACACTGTCAGCCAGTTCCATTTGTTTTTTAGTTTTTAAGGAGAAGTGAGGATTCCTTTCTGGTGATGCCTTCCTCCTCCCTGCACCTAGGGCTGGGGAAGCGCTCATAGGATAGGCACGAGCCACTCCTGGCCATTGCCTGACCGCATGGTCCGTGCTGGTGTGGTGAGATGGTGCTGGGGCCGGGCCGGAGCCTGCGGAGGGGCAGCTGGGCAGCGAGGCACCAGGGCGGCTTCTCACCAGCTCCCAGCCAGCAGTTTTCTTCACAGCGGAGAGTCTACCTCCATTTCTCCATTTTCCATTTCTGGTAGTGCCTGGGTGATGGTGCAGGGGTGAGCTCTGCAGTGCTCAGCCCTGGCATAGGGGGGTGCCAGGGTGGGGCACAGTGGCTGGACCCCGGGCTATGCTCAGCATCCCCTTCCCGGGCTCTTGCTGTCCGCACAGTGAGCCTCAGCTGTGTGGGCTCCACTGCAGTCGTAGCTGCAGTTTGGAGAGGGGCACCTGTCAACGCATTCAGCGAATACGGAAGGTCCGCGTGGGAGACAGACGCGCTCTGCAGTCGGCTTCGAGCCCATGGCTCTCCAGGGCGGCTGTCCTGTAGCAGGTCCACCTTCTGGGCTGCAGCCCCTCTTCTTCAGAGCCCTGGGCTCCCTGAAGTGCAGCTGAGTCTCTGACACTGCAGGGCCCTTGCCTTACCTGATGGTTTTCCGTTTTTGCTGCAGTTTTATTTCTGAAGCTCTGCACATCACCTCTGTGTTTTCTTGTACATGAGGACTCTTCAACTTCATAAAAATTATGTAAGAGTCAGGTGCAGTGGCACAGGCCTGTAATCCCAGCTGCTTGGGAGGCTGAGGCAGGAGGATCCCAAATTGGAGCCCAGTCGGGGCAACCTCATAAGATCCTGTCTCAAAATGGAAACATTTAGAAAGGGCTGGGGCTGTATCTCAGCAGTAGAGCACGTTCCGGGCATTGGTGAGGCCCTGGGTTCAAGCCCCAGTACTGAGAAAACGCTCACGACGCAGCGTGTGGAGGTGTGACAGTGAGCGCAGTGTGGAGGCTGTAAAGCCTCTGTTGGTAAAAGCACGTCCTCTGAACGCGACCTCTCTCACTCCTGAGACCGTGCTGGGCCTTGGAGACGGAGACAGCCACCAGCCACCCTTCTGCAGCAGCTTCCTGAGTTGCACGCATCCAGGAGGCTGTGGCCTCCTAACGTCGAAGTTGCACTTGGCTGGTTTGGGCCAGTTTGTAAAGTTTCTCCCGTTTCATTGCAGATCCGGAAGAAGCCATTTATGACGATGTCCCCAGGGAAAACTCAGACTCGGAGCCAGGTGTGTTCTTCGTGGCGCGGGAGCCGAGTGTAAGGTTTGGTTCCCAGCCCCCCTCTGCTGCCCCTCCCTGGGCCCAGCGAGTGTGCTGTCTGCCCCTTTCATGCCTTGGACAGTGAGGGGCCTGGAATGCTGTGTGTGGCGGGGAGGGGCACTCCAACTGCAAAGGGAAGGAGAAACTAGGAACAAGGAGGGAAGAAGCACGGAGGTCAGAAGTGCAGTGGACGTCTAATGCAAGGCGCATGCAAAGACAAGAGAGCCAGTCTGAGGTGGTCTTCAGTGGAAGTCACCGAGAATCTTCCAGAAGTGAAGGGAAACACACACGTTCTCAGCGTGTAGAAATACAAGCCCCATGAGTGTTAATTACACCAGTCCAGACACCAAGCCTTGGAAACCTTTGAAGCACCTGGTGAGAACAGGAGGCCGCGAGGAGTGCCGAGGACCCACGCTTCCCGACGACACAGCGGCACAGGGTGCAGGTGGCAGCAGCGGCCGGCCTGTCACTGTGCTCAGCTGTGGGCAGCCTCTGAGGAGAGAAGGCAGAGACGGAGGCCACCCTCTTGACACCTCAGCGACAGTCAGCGTACATCCCGGGAAATGAGCCCGAGGGTGTACAGTCAGCCTACATCCCGGGAAATGACCCTCGAGGGTGTACACTCAGTGTACATCCCGGGAAATGACCCTCGAGGGTGTACA